CTTAAGGTTTACGTTGAATGTAAAACTGGTCCCACATTGATCACATGAGTACGGCTTCTCTCCAGTGTGGGTTTTCATGTGACTCTTAAGGTGGTCTTTTCGTGCAAAACTCTTCCCGCACTGATCACACGTGTGCGGCTTTTCTCCCGTGTGGAGCTTCTCGTGTATTTTCAGATATCCTGGCCAATCAAATCTCTGGTCACAGTGTGAACACTTGTAAGGCTTGCCTCCAGTGTGAACGGTCTGGTGCTTTCTCAGGTCACCGGCAGTAAAAAAGGTCTTCCCACAATCAAAGCACATGTGATCCTTCACACCACTGTGTCTTTTCTGGTGTTCTTTTAAGCCACTCAGCACACTAAAACTCTTTCCACACAAAGAACACGCGTGTGGCTTCTCTCCGGTGTGGATCTTCATGTGAACATTAAAGGCTCCTTTTTGTGCAAAACTCATCCCGCACTGATCACATGTGTGCGGTTTCTCTCCAGTGTGGATTGTCATGTGTATCTTCAGGTGGTCTTTTTGTGCAAAACTCTTCCCGCACTGATCACATGTGTGCGGTTTCTCTCCAGTGTGTATTGTCATGTGTTTCTTAAGGTTTACTTTTTGTGTAAAACTGGTCCCACATTGATCACATGAGTACGGTTTCTCTCCAGTGTGGGTTTTCATGTGACTCTTAAGGTGGTCTTTTCGTGTGAAACTCTTCCCGCACTGATCACATGAGTACGGTTTCTCTCCAGTGTGGATTGTCATATGTATCTTCAGGTTGTCTTTTCGTGTGAAACTCTTCCCGCACTGATCACATGAGTACGGTTTCTCTCCAGTGTGGATTTTTGTGTGTTCATTAAGGCTACCTTTTTGTGTGAAACTCTTCCCGCACTGATCACACGTGTGCATCTTCTCTCCACCATGAACCCTCGTGTGAAGTTTAAGACTTTTTGTGTTTGGGAATCTCTTTCCGGTCTGAGGGCAAGAACTGTTGGCTCTCCTAAATGACTTTTCTCCAGTTTTGACAGGATTTTTCTCCTCTCCTTCACTCAGTTCTTCACTCTCCTCGATCTGTTCCATCAAGTCTAAAATAAGAAAAAAAAATTGTATTTTTATCCATCTATTCTCCAAACCACTCATGGGGGATTTTATTTTCTGTATATCATCCATTTAAAATGAAAGGGAAATGAAAAAGTGAACTCAAATGTAACACCAGAACACAGACAATTGCAATACAATAGTACAGTGGATTTTGACTACATTTTAATAAACAATTATATGTCCCTGGAACTTTTCATGAATTAGGCACATTGATCAGTTGTCATTTGTAAAACAATACAGGCACAAATCCATATTTTAAAATTAATGAAAACAATTTAAATGAACCATTTTAGCATTAGCACTGACCCACTGAATCTCAATCCAATCTCCGCTTTTACACAAACTAGTGAAAGTGAAAGTTTCCCAACACTGTTCCTGGAGGCACACCAACACATTTTCCAACTTTTTCTAATCAAACACAGCTGAATCAACTCATCAGCTCGTCAGTAGAGACTCCAGGAGACATCCAAAGTAAGGGAGACATCCCAAATGTGCAGCGTTGGTGTGCCTCCAGGAACAGGGTTTGTATTTTTCAAGCGAATGCAAATACCTTGATTATCTTTTTTAAGTTTAGAAGTTTATTTAGAGTTAGAACTTAACTCTAGAGCAGTGGTTCCCAATCCTGGTCCTGGAGAACCCCCAACACTGCACATTTTAGATGTCTCCCTATTTAAACACACCTGATTCAACTCATCAGCTCATTAGTGAAGACTCCAAGACCTCAAATGTGAGCGTCAGATAAGAGAGACAACAAAAACGTGCAGTGTTGGGGGTTCTCCAGGACCAGGATTGGGAACCACTGCAGCAGTAAGTAGTGAACACACACCCGGAGTAGTTTTGACTGCATTCATCAACTCTTTTACCAAAAGGGTAAAAATAACCATAACTGACTTCTATAATTTAAAATAAACTTAAGTTACAAGTATTACAAGTAAATAGAAAATAAAGTAATTACTTAATTTATGAAATTTTCAAAAACGTATATAGATGTAAATCAAATTCCGGAAATCTGGATTTTTCTCACACCTGAGGTCGCGCCTTCCGGAGGGGGGCGTAATGTCACGTTTATGTTCTGTTTTGGTTTAAAAAAAAGACAGAAAAGAACATTTCAGTTTTAGACTCCAGTTTGTACCCAGTTCATAGAAAGTGTCCTGTGTATTACTTGATATTTTAACTAAATATGAAATAACATTTCACAACCCATATGACTTTTCATACTACAAATATAATGACTTTAATGTTCATTAATCATTAATGAGGATTCAAAACTAAACACCAACCTCTTTGTTCTTCAGTCTCTTCGTGTTCCATTCTGCATGATTCTGGATCACTCATGTTCTCAGTGTTCAGCTCTGCTTCACTTCTAGGCTGATGGGAATATCCCAGCATTTATTGGTGATCTGCTGTGTGGGAGGAGCTTCAGTGAAGGTGAGTTGCTGTGGGAGGGGCTTCAGTGAAGTTGAGTTGCTGTGGGAGGAGCTTCAGTGAAGGTGAGTTGTTGTGAGAGGAGCTT